CTATAAGACCTTTCCCAGACCCCAGGGCAGGTCACCAGAGTGCAGGAGCTATAAGACCTTTCCCAGACCCCTGGGCAGGTCACCAAGTACAGGAGCTGTAAGACCCTTCACAGACCCCAGGGCAGGTCTGAAACGATGACTAACTCATTCTTTAATAAACTAGCATTTCCTGGCCCTGCTACTCCAGCTGCACTGCTAACCTTGGCCCTCTAACTGCAAAGCACTTTGGCTTGGAGATGCCACTGCTGGCATCAGTGGACGCTGACCCAAGGCAAAGCAAAGGTCAGTGTTGCAGAAGATGGCGAGAACCCAGGGATCAATGTTACCAGGGGGAAAAGGCACTTTTTGGATTTACTTTTGGGGAAATGGAATGAAATGCAGAGAAAATGCAGGTGTGGGGTTGAGTCCCACCAGGTGGGAGAAAGCGGCAGGTGCAGGTGGGCGTGGCCAGAAGGCGCACCTTGTAGTCTTCTCTGGCGTGCGCGCCCCGCGACTCCTTCCGCGCCTCTGCTCCGTAGATGGTCTGCAGCGCACACAGCATCAGGTTCTGCAGCTCCAGGGTCTCCACCAGGTCCGTGTTCCAGACCATTCCTGGGGACACATGAGGATCCATCAGGGGCAGTCACATGGGCCCTCCGAGCTGTCAGCCCGTATCTGCTAGTCCCAGAGCCTTTCCTGGTGGTGGCTTTATAGCTGTGGGCCAGGACCCATCCAGACAGCAAGCATGAGCTAAGGCAGCACTGGCCGGATAGACACTAGCCCGCCTGCGAAAGGCACGGCCCAGTCGTGTGCGCGGAGCCTGCTGTCTGCTCACCCCTGTCAAACGTCTTCAGGTGCTTCAGGTCTCCGTAGAGCTTGCTGATTTTCTCACAGCCTTCTTGCAGCACACTTCCCACACGGAACACAGCAGCGTGATTTTGCATTGACTGTGGCACAAAATACCATTTGTAAACTTTTAATCCATAGAAACAGCCACACCAAGAACTGCTTAACTTTTAGATCTGCATTTCATTTTATTTAAAAGTTATGTAAATTAAACAGAACAATGAGGAACTCAGACTATGAGTTCACTACTCTGAACTTAAAAATGAAGTTCTGACTAACGCTTCTGAAAATGTTTCTATTGACTACACATCTTAGACCCAAACACATGCTTTCCAGCGGGATACAGCCACAGACTGCCTGTGAGGTGCCATGTTCCATATGGCTCTGTGGCCAGCCAGGCAGCACCCCCTCCCCACACCCCTGGTGGACACTGGACCAGACGGGACTCCTGACGTGAGGTCTGGTGGTGAATGTGTGGTGATACACACTAGGAGCTGAGCAGAGTGCTGCTGATGGTGGTGTAGGAGCCAAAGGTCTTCGAGGAGAGGGAGGGCGTGGGTGGTTGGGACCTTTGGCCCATCTAGCTACTGTCTTCTGCCTGTTTTGCAAAAGCTCCGCGTACACTGGGGTCCATCGCAGTTTTACGGTGATGAGGAATGTGCTATGAGGCAGACCTGCAGTTTTTTGTAGGTATGCTGGGAACTGGGTGTCAGTGTTTGCTTCCTATGGGATGGACAGGCACCACTTCCCCGACCCCTCCTCCTCCTGGCTTCTCCCTCTAACTCTGCTTTGCTCCACTGACCCTAATTGTCTCCTCCTCTGCAAATGCACCTTAATGGTTTAATTTGAACATTTCATCTGATTTTCCTTAGACTGATACATAATTGTAACACTGTAATGCACATCAACCTATTGGTTTTTCAGGAAGAACAAATGAAAAAACTGCATCTTAGAATGTAGTAAGTATCACATTCTTTCACATCCTTTAGCAGGATGTTTCATATCTGTTTTAGGTATTTCTAGTTACATTTATTCAAGGCATTTTTTATTTTTTGTCTGAAAGGTGAATGAGATATTTACTGATGTCTGAGAGGATTA